CGTCGCTTTCGTAGCGTCCTAACTATCCTATTTCTTAATTAATCTAGGACCTTAATACTTTAAAGCGGTTAATTAAACGATTAAATATCTATATACTACTCGCTTCCTTAACATAAGGTATAGGAATAAGAGTAATAACGCTTAAGTATTCTTAATTAATAGTAACGCTTCGTTTATAAACGATTCTAAGTTAAGAAAGTCGTCTTAAGGATACGTAATATCCTTATTTAAAGGTCCGATTATATAAAGAGCCGCTCGCTAGGATATAGTATCGATATCGACGATTAAAGCTAAACTATTCGTATTAAAGTATATAGCTAAGGAAACGATAGCTCTTAAACGTTTCTTTAGGGATATTACCCTAAAGCTAGGAGAACCTTAGAGGATATATAGCGATAACTAATAAACGATAAGATTAATAATAGGAAAGAAAGAAAGGATTAATACTAGGCTACGTTATATAAATATATAGAATATATAGCTACGTTAGAAATATTAAAAAGGTACCTTCGAAGTAATCTACCTCTTTATTAATTAAATGCTAATAAACGGACTTACGAAAGCTTTATTACGTTAGTTGTTCGAATACTTTAAAGTACTATTTAATTTATAGAACGCTCGCGAAGAAATAGTTATAATAATACTTAAAGAGTCGCCGTAAGTATTAACGGTACGTAAATTTTTTTCTTAATTAATTAATATATAGGTATAAAGTATTATCGCTATATAGAAATAGCTCTTCTTACCGTTAAATACCGAACTCGTATTACTTATAAATCCTAATATAAAAAGGCTATTTTAAAATAAAGAATTTAACTACGGAAGTAATAAACGCGGTCGGATTAGCAGAAGGTATAAGTATTAGCGGGTTCGTTTTAATATTCGATAATTTCCTCGTATAAGCGGTCGGCTTATCGGTATAATACTTCGCGTAAGTATTACTCGAAAGAAATAAACGCGTAAGCGTAAGCGATTTTAAATACTACTTCCTTAAAAGATTACTCTTCGTTCTCGGAAATTTCCTTTTTTCCTTCTTTTCCTCTAACGTCTTTTATCTCTATATTTAATTCCTACTCGGGGACGATAACGGGCGAGGCTACGTTAGGTATTACGGTCGATAAGCCGGCGGAGGCGTTACTTACGCCGGCTAAAGTAATAAAAGAATTAATAAGTATAAAGCTAAGGACGGGTACGATAAGCGCGGTCGATAGTCCGGTAACCGAAGAGCTTACGCTTAGCTAGGTAAATTAACCGGAGTTAGCTACGCTTCGTTACGATTTTACGGTCTCGGGAACCGCGGGTATTTACTCCTTATTTTAATAAAGGATTAAGAGTTCTTTTATTACCGTAACGAGCTTAAGGGCTTATAAGTAACGTTAGCGAGTATTAAATAACGCGAAATAAGATTTATATATCGATAAAACCCTCGATATAAGCGACGATAAAATAAATAGCCGGTAGAATTAAAACGTCGGCCCTATATAATATTAGCTTTAAACCTCGACGTACGGGGATAAGAATACCTATAAAAGTACGTAAGCGTAACCGGATAAGTAACGGTAGTAACGGCCGGTACTTTAAAAAGAATCGAAGTATTTTCTAATAAACTTATTTTAAGCCGTATTACGTACGTAGCTTAGGTAAGGGATTATACGGCGAGCTTCGTACTTTCGATTACGGATAACCGAGGTAGTTCTTAGGGCGACGGTAATAGAAGCGGAAGCGGCCGGTACGACGGGGGTATTAAACGGAACCGCCGGAGCGGCCGGGCTAGAGGAAGTAACGGAAGCGGTAATAGCTCCGGGAGCCGAAGAAACGCTACGGCTTCGTTCTTATCCTCGTCCTCGTCCGGCGATATTACTACGAATCGGAATAATAATAATAGCGGCCGTTTAAGTTACGCGAGTAACGGCGATATTACTAAAGAACGTAACTTAATATACGCGAGTCTAGGCTCGGGTTTTACGCGAAGAAACCTTATAAGTAATTAATATAACTAAGCGGTCGCTTTCTTCGATTATTTCCTCGTATAAGGAAAGGAAGTTTTCTTCGGAAGATTCCTCCTTAAAGGATTCGTCGGTAAAGACCTTAATAACTCGGGATACGATACCTTAAAGGGCGCGAGTAACTAAGGCTTAGGTACGTTATACTAAAGCGCTAGATACGATTATATCGACGTCGCTTTCGTCGATAAAAGGATCCTTAAGGAGCTAAGCGATAATTAAGATCCCGGACCTAGGAGTAAAGGATATCCCTCCGCGGCGAGTAAGGCTACCGGCCGAAGCTCTAACGCTATTCCCCGTACGAATACGGAAGATAGATTAAAAGCTCGCGGCGGAAAAGCCGAATACCTTTTACTCTAACGAGGCTACGGTACCTTAAAGCGCTAATACTATCTTACGAAGCTTTTAAGTATCGGATATATTAAAAGATCGTTAATTACGGTATTATATTACTACCGGTAAATAATAAATAAGTAATAAACGGATTATTTCGAATAACCTCTTATTTATTAATATAAAATAATTAACGGTCGCTTTATTATCCTAGGATATTTTAATATTAAAAGTAATATATTAATCGTAAATAATAACCCTTACCGTAATAAGCTAAGTTATTATCTTACGGTCGCTTAATGAAAGTATATTACGACTCGTATAATACGCGAGCTACGCTCTACGTAAATTATAAAAGAAGCGGACTTACCTTGCGATAATAAATTAACGAAGCTTTATTAGTTATATTAGCTTACGATCGCGTAATTAATAGAATTACTTAATTATGATTAAAGGTATATATTTATAATAAATAACCTAGGAAAGAAAGGAAGAAAGAAAGGTACGTTTAATTCGAAAGCGAGAAATCCTAGATATATTTATACTTAACGCCTTCGTAAGAGAAACGGCAGAATCGGTTAATATAGGTAACGCGCGCGAGCGCGCGCGATAGTAACAAAGGAAATTAAATCTTAGTATTAATACTAAAGCTATTACTATTACTATTATATTACCTATATAACTAACTACCGCTTAATCGAAAGCGAGTAATTATACGAATAATTATACGAGTAATTATTTTTATTTATAATAAACTATAGAGTACTAAGTAAGGGATACGAAGAATATATAACTTAAGAGAAAATACTACTAGTAATAAACCGGAATATATACGGATAAGGGAATATAAGGGAGCCCGAGATAGGATACCTAGTAATCGATTAACCTTAATAAGGTATAGCGAGACTAAGGAATAACCCTTTGGGCTATTATCGTAAGTAAAGGACTATAGTTAACCTTACTATCGTAAGCTTAACTAAGGGATATATTACGTAGGTATATACCCTTAGTAGGAACTACCTAGCTTACTTAAGCTAACTAAGTACTACTATATATACCTATAGATCGCTCTATACTCTCTAGTAGCTTTCCTTCTTTTCTAATTAGTTAATATATACCTTCTTACCCTTATTCCATTACTCTCTTTACGAATAACCTATTAACCTCAGCTTAGCTCTCGCTAGCTACGTAACACCTTTAATTAAACTAACTAGCTTTCAATTAATCAGGGTTAATCGGGATCAGGTTAATCAGGTTCAATAGGAACGAGAGCCACCGCACCTATTACTATTAGGAGTTCAATTACTCCTTACGGATTAATTAAACTAAGGAGGCTATAGTAGTACGGTAGATCTAGGCCACGTAGCCTTTTCGATATATATTTATATAGGTCGCGCACTTATATTTTCATCAGCTAGACTTAAACCTATAGATATCACAGCCTATAGCTATTTACTCGTTTCTTGCCATGCCTTTCTAGCTATCCTCCTATTACCCTTTTCTAGTCTCCTTTCCTAGCTACCGTTTTTAGTTAGCCGATCAACCGATTACAGCTATTTACAGCTATAATCTTAGTTAATCGGCACTAGGCCAGTTATTAGCAGTTAGGCAGTCCTTGTTTCGTGCCTCCGTCAGCGTGCCTACGCTGCTCCTGTTCAATATGAAACTATAAAGGATTATCTAAATCTATATAAGAAAGTTAGCGCGTACGGGTAGGGGCGGCTACGTACGAAACCGTACGAAAAAGGGCGGGAACTATAGGCTTTAAAAAACTATATTAATTTCGTAAACTAAAAAACTATTTCGTATTAATACCGTACGTTCCCGTATACGTATATAAGATTAATATATAGGATATATCCTTCCTAATCTTAGAATTTAATTTCGTACGAATCCGAAATTATATATCCGAGATAGTATAAAATATATCTTATTATATAAGAGAAGGATAAGGAAAGGAGCTAAACTTATAGTTATTAATAAGCCTAAAAGAAAAAAGGAAAAAAGAGAAAAGGTATAATATAGGTAGAGGTATAGGACCTTATGGAAAAAAAAATATTACTTACTAAGGATTACTAAGTTAAGCGAAATATAACCCTATTATTACGAAAAGGTAAAATTCTAATTAATTATAGAAAAATTCAAACATACCGAATATAATATTTTTTTTTCATTTAATTAAAGGGAATAATTAAAATAATTAATTATTTTAATTCGTTAAAAACAGGGCTAAGTTATATAGTATCGCTATATATAACCTTATTTTACGAAAAAGGTAATCTTATTATTAATTAGAGAAAAATTCGTACATATTAAATATGATATTTTTAATAATAATTACGAAAAGAAACGGTTAAAAAATTAAGGTTAATAATAATTACGAAAAGATTAGGATTAAGCTTTACATCTACGCCTCCCGAAGGGAGGCCCTGGCATGCTCGTGTACAATATATACACACCCATACCCAAGAGCATATTTTTATTATCTCTTTGTAAACTTCTCACTCTGCCCTCTCTCTCCACTCCCTCGAGCTTGGCCAACGTCGGTAACGGCCTCTAATCTCCCTAGCAGGTAATAATACTTGGGACTTGGGGCGTATCGAGACTCGAGACAGCCTCTGGGTATTCGGCCATTATCAGCAGGAGACCTGCTTGCGTCGCATCAGGTCACCGGCGGAAGATACGCGAAGATCTGCGATGGGCCAGCAGCTGTCGCAATAACCTGGGGCTCTGAGATAATACCATCGACATAATGTCCTTCACAAATGCGCCAGTGACGCGCAGCCTCGTCTACGGGCTGGTTGGAGTGTCGATAGCTGCCAGCCTACTCGATATCAAGCATTACTTCTATATCCTGGTCGACCTCCATCTGTGGCGATTCCACCAGATATGGAGGCCCCTTATATACCAGCTTTGCTACACCAATTCGTCCGAGGTGCTGTTCGCTGCCATGACGCTATACAACCTACGAGTGGTCGAGAGAATGTGGGGTTCGAGGAAATATGCCGTGAGTGCGCGTTGCCCTGCCGAGGAGTCGCTCTTGGTTCTTAGCTCTGGCTGACAGCAAGACATCGTGTAGACCTTCGTCTTCATCGCCTTGCTATTTACAAGCGTTCTCCCCCCCGCAATATTGGCCCTCGTTTTAAGGCCCTTAACGCTGGGCCTCTTCAACTTCCTGCCTGCCGGACCGACGCCCATAATCTTCGCTGTCCTAGCCCAATACCACGCCATGGTACCTCCCATATATCGATACAAGATAGCGACGTCCACATCCACGCCGACGGACGACCCGACCTCGGGCATCACCTTCTCCGACAAATCGTATCGGTACCTTCTCGCCCTCCAGCTAGCGCTCTTCCAGTGGCCCGGATCGGTATTTGGCGCGTTGATCGGCTGGGTGGTGGGCTACTCGTGGAGAATGGAGGTTCTTCCACGCTCGTTGATACGATGGCGACTGCCCGGATGGGTGGTGGGAATGCGGACGCAGAGGCGGAGCCAAGAATTCGAAGGGTTGCGGAGGAGGCTAGAGGGAGAGGGTGCGTCAACGGGCGCAGCGACGGGAGTACAGGGTCAGGCCGACTCGGAAGGGGGAAGACGCAGAGCAACGGGTCAACAGGTTTTGGATCAGTTCCACCGAGCATTTTAGGACTAGGAAGCGGACGGGCTAGAAAGCGTCATTTTTCCCCCTTCTTTTGTCGGGTTTGTTGCACTACTAACTAGATTTCCCTCTTGCATTCTACCCCTCCCCCTTACCCGCGACCTTGCTACTGCGACGCAGGCTTGCGGCGAATCGGTTGTCGGGATATTAGCCCCGGCTGTTCGGTAGGTGTCGTGAGTAAGTTGGTCGTGGCTATGTGCTGGCCATGCCACGGAATACCTAAAACGGGTGTGGAAGGGCGACAGGCGGCGAGGTCGGTTGACATCGGTGACTGAGACCCCCCCGCGCCTCATCCTCAGCCAACGACGACGTTACCCCTATGTACACTCGGGTGGCTTGTATGCCGATTGTCTCCATTCAGAGCCTACCACATCGCGACACCACACACCAACCCAACAACCACGGTCCTCTCGGGCGGCATTCGGGATATGTCTATCGCGCCGAACCCATCGCCCCCTTTATGGGGGCCACCGACACATACTAGACGAATATTGCCGACAAGCGCGGCTAGCGCTAGAGTCGGTAGTGGGGGCGGGTTATCTTCATCTATAGTAATATTGCAGATGGAACCCGAAATTACCGACGGGCCTTCGTTTCAACGCGTTCCAGTCGTGGACTCAATATCGCGTACCAGCACGGACGGCCTAGGGATTCTAGCACTATATTCATACATGGTGACAGCGCGCGTCAGCAGCAGGCAGGCAGGCCATACACGGTATACCTACAGAAGTGGCTATATTTAGGCGGATTGCGCCTCGCATCATCACGACTTTACATATAGCTTTCCATCGCGGCCCAAGTTCGCCATATCCATATCCGCATGACATATTAGGTACCTACCTATACTGCCGAAGGTCCAATGTCGGACAGGTACCCACCCCCTTAGGTTAGGTGCTTAAGGTATCTCCCGCTCATGCGTCCTAAAGACTTGTGCAGTAGCTCAGGTATGTAAGGCAATAATCCCCATCTTGACTTCAAGGACCCTGGGACCGCACCCACATGCGACAAGCATCCACTATGTATATCGTATTATACGGATGATGATGGCGCCTCGAGGAGGCCTTCGAAGGGAGGCGTGTAGCCTCCGTACCTGGCCAATTTCGCAGATGACACCTGTCGCGACATCATGTGTAGGTGTGCCCTTTTTTGGTCAAATATGTGCCAGAGGAGGTATGCATGTGTTCTACGGGTCCCACCTTAGGTGCGTACGTGTAGGCACGTGACGTTCATTCCATATGGCGATTGGATCTATTTATTTAGGTATTTATTGCCTCGGGTACCTTAGGTACCTAGACCTAAGTCACCTGGGTACGTTGCGCTCATGAAGAGCCGCAATAGTTTGTATATGAGTAAGTCAGTTCCCCTAAACGCCACGCAAAGTTACGGCGACGACTATGAGGTCCCTACCTAACTTACGGATGCAGTGATTAGCAGGTACGTTATCGGGAGGTAGGTGAGTGTGCTATATGGACGGTATCGCTAGGTACACGTTCCATCGTTATATGAGTACGCGTGCGAGCCACCCCCACGGTCGGTGCCAGGTACATCCTAAGCTTCAATACCTGCCTAGGTAGGTATCTAACCTACCTAGGTACCTTAGGTACCTAGAGGCCCCTGGGCAGCTTACCATGTACGGTTTAGCGCCTCCGTTTGAGCTTGAAATGCACAGCCAATCGCTTTTTGGCAAAGATGCAAATCGGAGATGGACTCATATGTACATCTCCTTTTTTTTCGTTTCTAATTCTGCCCAGCCTGACTGAACCTAACTTATACCCGGTACATGCCTATACACGTACTTATATACTACCGCCTCTGCTACGCAGTACACGTCTACACATACGTGTATATGAATGTGCATCGATACATACCTACCCTTTATACGCTTGCCTTCGTGTTGTTTATTTCTATATGTATGTATCTTCTGGTGGCTTGACTGCTAGAGAGGTACCTACAGGTAGGGAGCTGTGGAAGGTAGTAGGTAGGTACGTACCCACAAAGGTACGGTACGGTACGGCACAGTGCCCTTTCTCGCCATCCACCTAAGCGCGGTGCTTTCTTCTTCCTCCTCTTGGCTCGGCCTCCCTCCTTTGCGCGATTCCACGTACAATACCCCTACCCCGTGTCTTGCAGCCAACTCTCCATTCTCAAAACTTCCGTCCTTCGCTTCCATCTTTCTTGTCTCTTCTGACAGCCTTCGATCAACCACAGCGACGGGTACGCGCGCCCGCCGACAACCCCAGCGGCTTGCGACTCTGGCGACTCCTACTTCTCCCAGGCTCCCAACCATTCGCCCGTCACACCAATGCCCAGGGGCCTTCCCGTGTAACTACCGTAGTGTATAATGAGTTCCGCAGGGGGTGTCTCGGCTCGCAATTGACAACGATGAACGGCTTCGCAAACCGAGACCAGAAGGGGTTCGATGCGAGGGGACCGCCGCCTCTGCGCCCGACGATTACGCCGAGGGGCCCGGCGCTCGTCGAATCGTATAGACAGGATGGCCTGGATGGGTTTGAGAGGGAGCGGCCTCGGTTCAACCCGGTAAGCTCAGCAGCTCGCCTTAGTCTCGCTGTGCGACAGCGAGTCGCGTCTATCGTTGGGTTTGCTCATGGCTCGTTAGTTGAATCCGGGTCGAGTCCAGAGCTCGGTGCTCGTCGATCTTCAAGACCCCGTCCAAGTGCACCTACTCACCGAAACCGCGCTGCTCGATAGCAAGGAATACGAAATCCTCTCCCAAGAGGAGGTAGATGACCTCAAGAAGCAATGGCAGGTCTTGAATCAGCGGATAGAGCAGACGCGGGCAAATCTCGCCATCCAATCCAAGTACCGCGATGCCGCGATATCCATGTCCAAGTTATACTCCCCCTCAAGGGCGGACGGCAAGCGAAAAAGTCTCCTCGGCCACCGGCACAGCGGGTCAATCGACGCCGCCCGGGAGGCCGAGCACGAGCTCAGCACGATCCAGAAGAAATGTGAAGATTTGGCCTCGGAGTTGTGGGCTTTGGAAAAGCGCGCCATGGAACCCCAGAGGAGGCTTCTAGAACACACCGCCGGCATCCTACAGCTTGCGCACAAGACGTCCAAGCCGACCGTCCCGTCTCCCAAGGGACCGCTGGTTAACGGCGTCCCTGCTAGCCCCGAGAGTATGTATACCACGTCGAACGGTCGTGACAGTATGGACTTTCTAGACGAAGGCATCATTTTCGACGAAGCTAGCCTATACCGGTCGTTCGATCTGTCCAGCGGGTTCGACGGTAGAATCCAGCCAGCCATCGAGATTCCTACGAAGTCGCCCATCCGTGAGCAGAACAAGCAGCTTGCCGAGGAGAGCGAGAGGCTACGGGAGGAGAACCGGGAGCTTCGGGCGCGGACCGAATCCCTGTTATCGCAGATCAACGAACTGGGAGGCTCGAGGTCGGACCAGCGGGCGCTGATCTCAGACACGGAAGGCAAACTAGAAAGCTTCAACCGCCAATTGCGTGAACTTATCGTCGCCGCAGATCCGGCAAATAACATGAATTACCAGGCACCGCCGTCAGGCCAGCTCGAGCCCGGAGATATGATCGGTAGCCATTTAGACTATCTAGAGGGTGGCTTGGCCGCCCTCGCCGAAGGTCAAAGCGATAGTGTGGCGGTGACCGGGAAACTACAAATTCTTAATACCCAGATCCAGGGCCTGCTCGCGCAAGCCAATCCGAATCAACCCCCGCCACCAGACGCAAGCCTGGGCGTTGACGAACAGTTCGGCTACCTGCAGAATTCTCTTCAGATGATCGAGGAGGACCTACGACGAGCCGCTGACGCAGTTGGTACAAATTCTGCCGATCGACAGAAGACCGAACAGTCCGAGGCCGTTCTCATGGGACTCTGGGACATCATCCAATCAGGCTACGCCGACATGCGGCAACGGAAGCACGACCGACGAAAGGCTCGTTTAGATAAGGGGTTGGAGCCGGATGAGGCGGATATGTCTGATGGCGAGTCTTTTGACCCCGACGAAGTGTACTCATTGCAGGCTTTCTCAACCAAGATTCAGTGGTTATACACACAAGCCACCAAATTACAAGAGCAAAAGGGTGTTCTTAAACGCCAAATTAAGCAGCAGCGTGAGCTCAACAGCAGGTCCGATTCCGAGAAGGATGAAGCGATCAGGACCAAGACGGACGAACTAGAGGAGGCTAGGATACTACTTCAGAAAGCAGAAAAGGAAACAGACAGCACCCGCGCGCAGCTTTCGCGGGCCTTACAAGATCTTGAGGAGGTCCAGAATAACCGTACCGAAGAATCCGCTGCCATAGACGAGGCACGAGAACAGCTCCGAGAACGGAATGCGAAGGTCGCATCGCTGGAGGCCGACACCAGAAATACACAGGCGCGTCTAGCGACGGCTGAGGCCAACATACAAGCCATCACTACGCAGCTGCAAGAAGCCAGCGAAGCCAAGGACGCCGCAGACAAGGCTGTTAAAGACAAGGAGAATGAGCTCAAGGCCAAGGAGGAAGAACTCAAGGCAAAGGAGGAGGAGCTCGGACAGATGATGAGCATGGTCGCCGAGCTCAAGATGGAAGCTACCCTTGCCAAGGCCGAGCTCGATGGAGCGTACGGATCGAGGAAGGAGAGGGCAGCGGAGGTTGCAGCCCTACATAACTCTTCGGAATCCGCCAAGATGCAATCCAGAGTCCATACCCTGGAAAAGGAGTTGAAGGCCACGGCCGAGGATTTGACCAACGTCGTCAAGCAATCACTCGAGAGCGAGAAGAAGATTGGGGAGCTGGAGGGCGAGCTCGACCGAGCCAGGGCGGAGCATTCTAAAATCAAAGAGGAGAGGGATCACATGGACGAGGAGCTCGAGAAGCGGCTCCGCGAAGCTACCAGTGACCTCGAGGAAAGGCATGAGAGCGAGATCGCAAGGCTGCGGAGAGAGAAAGAACAGATACTAGATGACCTCGACAAGGAACGACTGAGATCAGCCAGCTTCCCCGTATCGCCCGGCGGCACCAAGACGTCGTTCTTGACAGACTCTTACCGGGTAGGACTTAGGGCTGAGAGGAGGAAGTACGAGGAGCAGCTAAGGGTACGTATCTTCTGGTGGTTCGTTCGCTACGGGTCCTGTCAGCTAACCACACCTCGCAGGCGGAACAAATGCTGCGGAGGAAGATCGAAGACGAATTAAAGGCATTGAAGCGAGCGCAGGGGCCCGGCAAGAGTCCGCTGAGCCCTTCAAGGAAATAAACGGCCTCTTCTTCTTTCGCCCTGTTATCAATATTGTCTCGGGATACATATATTTATATACATACTTTTGGTGGGTATTCGTGTCTATAGCTAGTCGCACCATGTTTTGTCTTAGGGGGGGGGGGGGGGGGGTTCATCCCATTCTTGTACAATAGAGAACCGACTTGGGGTTTAGCTCTTCCCCTATCTATATAGATACTGCAGGTGCTCGGCATTGGGATAATGACTCGAGGGAGGCTTGGACCATGCCATATATACCCTCTGCTCGGGTAGACGACTTGGGCGTCTCGGGCAGTCGAGGAGGCGAGCAAGGGAGCCAGCGAGTCGGTGCTTCGAGCTCGAGGATGAGAATGAGAATATGAATTACAATACCGAGGCACACCATGTTTCTATATCGCTGCTACGATACACATCCACCCTCGATCAGCTTCCACTTACGGCAAGGTCACGTCTAATTAGAGGACGCCAATGGTGTGCTTCAGCGATGCCAAGGTGGGCGGCGGCGGCCAACCCGGCGCTCTGGCTGGATCCTTCACCTTCGATTCCTGGAGGTCGCCAAGGAAATGGGCGCGCAACGTGGGCTACATTGGGCGATGCGACTGGTCCCGGCCCCTGTAGCTATGCAACAGACTGCCAGTCCCAATGGGGTGTCTCATATCGATCTCCTATCTATGATCGCGAAAGCCGTGTCCCTGCGGTCTAGGCCGGTGACGAGTCTAAACTCGGGTCGGTCGTCCGCTTTTCGTCTCTGCACGCGCGCGCAGAGTGGGCGACGGGTCGCGAGGAGTTCATACAAATAGAGGCGCTCCTCTCTCTTACTCTGGTCGTCTGTCTTCCTCTCACCCTCGCTCTCTCCAAGGTTGAGCAACCGGGGTCGCAGATACTTCCCAACCGTCCCGATTAATCAAATTTCGGTTCCTTTAAAACCACCGACAGTCTGCAGAGCACGATGAAGTCCGCGACCATGCTCCTCCGAGGACTCGGGACGGCCCTTCTCATCGCCGCCAGCACGTCGGCCGAGACCATTGCCCAGATCAACGGCGACCGCTTCCTCTCGCCGCTTGATGGGCAACAGGTGACCAACGTTACGGGCGTCGTAACGGCCAAGGGGCCCGATGGGATATGGATAAGATCCGTCGAACGGAGCCGCGACAGACGTGTCTCGGACGGATTGTACGTGTACGGCTCGGTGCTGGCACGCAACACTAGCATCAGCACCGGCGATGTGCTCGTCCTTAGTGGCAAGATTACCGAGTATCGTTCTAACAGGAACTACCTGTACCTGACGGAACTCACGGCACCAAACGTCACGGCTGTGCTCGAGCGCGGCACGACCGTTAGGCCGCTCGTGATCGGCGGCAAGGGCCTCCCCAGCCCACCCACGGAGCAGTACTCGGGCCTCGACGGCGGCGATGTGTTTGCCGTCCCGAATAATCAGAGCCTCGTCTCGGTCGAGAACCCGATCCTTCGGCCGGAGGCGTACGGACTCGATTACTGGGAAAGTCTCATGGGCGAGCTGGTCACGATCGAGAACCCGCGCGCCGTCGGTCGTCCGAATCAGTACGGCGACACATGGGTCGTGGGCGGGTCGTGGAAGACGAGCGGCGACAACGAACGCACAGGCCTCACGATCTCGGCGGGCGACGGGAACCCGGAGGCGATCATCATCGGAACACCGCTCGACCAGTCGAAGAACCCGAGCGAGACGAGGCTGGGCGATAAGCTCGAAAGCATCACGGGCGTCGTGTCCCAGGCCTTCGGGTTCTACCGGATCCTGCCGCTGACCGGAATCACGGTCGTCGAGTCGCTCGCGCCGCAGCTACCGCCGCCGACGACGCTGGCGAGCGACGGCACGTGCGCCGGCATAACGGTGGCAAGCTATAACGTCGAGAACCTGGCGGCAGCGGACGCGGCGCATCTGAAGGCACTCGCGCGCGACGTGGTGGACTACCTGCGGTTGCCGGATCTGCTCGCGGTGCAGGAGGTTCAGGACGATAGCGGCGAGACGAACGACGGCACGGTGGACTCGGACGCGACGCTGGGCGCGCTCGCGGCGGCGATCGGGGAGGCGAGCGGCGGCGCGGCGACGTACAACTACACGTACGTGAGCCCGGTCGACGGACAGTCGGGCGGCGCGCCGGGGGCCAACATCCGCGTCGCGTACCTATACCGCGGGGACCTGCTGCGGCTGCGCGAGGCCGAGGGCGCGGGCGACGCGCAGACGGCGACCGAGGTGCTGCCGGGGCCCGAGCTCCGGTACAACCCGGGCCTCGTGGACCCGCGGAACGTGGCATGGACCAACAGCCGGAAGCCGCTCGCGGCGGCGTGGGAGCTCGTCGACGGCACCAGCAAGACGCTGTTCACGGTGAACGTGCACTGGGGCTCCAAGGGCGGCAGTTCGTCGCTGCACGGAGACGCGCGCCCGCCCGTCAACGGCGGCGTGAACAGCCGGAGTGCGCAGGCTGAAGTGACGGCGGTGAGCTCTTTTCCTTCTCTGTCTCTCTCTCTCTCTTCTCTCTACTCGAACCTTTACTGCCCTGCGTGGCCCACCCGCTCCATCTTGCCTAGTTACTAACGTCGATTCGCAGAATTTCATCTCGTCGATCCTCGAGGAGTCGAGCTCGGCGTACGTGGTAGCGCTGGGCGACTTCAACGAGTTCGCGTTCGTGGCGCCGCTGACCGAGTTTGCGGAGCGCTCCGGCCTGGTAGACCTAGACGTGGCGGCGGAGATCGCGCCGGCAGAGAGGTACTCGTATCTATATGACATGAACTCGCAGGAACTGGACCACGTCTTCGCGAGCCCGGCGCTGGCTGGCAGCGACCGGCTCAAGGGGTTCGAGCATATCCATGCCAACACCTGGCTCCCGTACTCGGAGCGGACGTCGGACCACGACCCGGCCGTGGCCAAGTTCAACATCTGCTAAGATAGACCTGGAGAGGGCGTTTTCCTTCTCCCCAAGCAATCGGAACCCAATGTCTCTTGCGTTTAGGAAGACGGTGTGCCTACGCTACCTTGGCATAATAATGATGAATATGGATAGGTAGATAGATGGCGGTTCAGGCGGTAATGCCGTCGCCGGGCCAGGGAAAGGGGGGGCGGTTGACGGCCACGATGAACACGAGACGAGCACAGGATATTTACATGTGTATAATACCTACATATCTGTACTGGTTGATATACCTACTTATGTGTATAAAGACGAACAAGAGCACGCGTAGCCAAACACCTTGCATCTAGCTGGATTTCCACAGGGGACAGAGAAGCGCAAGTGCATTGCATATCCGAAGACACAGAACGGGGTCATCGATATCTGGCTTACCGCACAGCTGAGGGACGAGTAGAACACTAGCAAGCATTATTTCGTTCTTCTGTGCTTTTCCAGCACCATCACATGTGACATGCCCATCGCGGCCGACCCTCTCCTCCATGCCGACGCCGAGCCGACTACGCGCAGGCCCGCAGGCCATCTCCAGCCAAGTCCGCGGGGGGGAATGCCAGCGTCATCGGGGCTCTCGTAGCAGGGGCCTTCTTCTCCCGCCCGTCTCGGCAGTTCATCCACCCGCAGGCCTCCCTCCCCGTCCCACTGACTAGGTAGCAATCCCCCCCCCTCCCCCCCCCCCCAACCCCCACGTTTGCTTAGTCGCATATCCGTCCGGCGAGGCGAGGCGAGTAAGCAGCGCCGCGGAAAAGAATCGAAGAGAGAGAGGAAAAAAGAAAAAGAAAAAGAGGCCTCCCGACTCCGCCGCGCCGGACCCCCGAGCGAGCGAGCGAGACCATCCCCCGCCGCGCTGGCGACGGCGCCGTCCTAAGTCCCCCCTCCCTCTCGTGGGGCGTAAGTGCCGGCTCGCCGCCTAGGCTAGCGCGCGCGGCCGGCCGGTTGGAGGAGGGCGCCGCGTGCGCGTGGTCGTCGACGGGCACGCCTAGCTTCGCGTTGCTGGACCCGCGGCCGACAAGAGGGGGTGGTGGGGAGGGGGAGTCGCGCTTGGAGCACAGCCACTCTGGCGGCGGGGTGCTGGGAGGTGTGCCTGTATAGGTGTACTTGTATTATATTTATAGACTTGCCCAGGTGCGATGGCATATCTACCTAGGTATGCATATAGGAGATGAGCTAAATAGCGAAGACTGCTAGGTAGCGCTGTTAGGAATCGAACCTATCCTTCGTTAAGTAACCTACTGATCTATAGGTACCTTAGGTAGTTCGTTGTGCCCCTGCGCATTATACCAGGTGGGTAGGTACCTACGTAGTATAAGTCAGGTACCTGGTATCGAACTTTGCGCTGGTGCGGTCACACACTAGTGCGCTAAAGGGGGACCGTGGGTAGTAGGTACATAGGTACGCAGATGTCGCTTATACGCGATTTGTGCCGGCGACGGACGGGGAGAATCCAGGATAGTGGAAGTGTAGAACGTTACCTAAGGAGAGAGAGAGAGGGAGAGAGTTCCTAGGTTAAGAGGTAGGTAGGTAGTTAGTCGGTAGTTCCTTGTCACCAAGACAGATAGATGTGCCTGCGTTGCCCCAACTTGGCCTGTTAGCTGAGATCCGAGAAACCGAAACCAACTACCCGCTAACCGAGTGCCTAGGTAAGGTACAGGTAGGTTAGGTAGGTAAGGCGGCCCAGGGCACCTAAACTAGCATCGGTAAGCACATTATCGTTGGTTAGACGGAGGTGCGTGTAGTGTGCCCAGGAGGCTACCCGGTAAGCACCTATTTTCTATCTACCTACATAATAAGTACCTAACTACCTACCTAACATATGGTAGATTCTATGATCCCTCCCCCCCCTTTCTTTTTCTTTCTGCGATTTACTTATCGTCTGTCTCATGACAGGTAATGCAGACCGGCGCCTACGCCTCCCGGGTCGGCTAGCTATGTTAGGGGTATATACCTATGTGCAGGGAGCGGGGGGTTTCTTCGCGACATTGTCTAATAATCATTGTTAATTTTTTCTGGGTTCCTTTTCGGCTACCTGCCTAGACTCGGTTCTCGCTGTCCCTCTCTCTCTCTCTCTCTTCAGCTCAGCCTCGGGTCTTTTAGTGGCTCGCCACCACGGCGAACCCAACCAGGATCTTCAGGAACGCGAGGCTCGTGGTTGGCTCGAAATCCCGGAGTGTCGACGGATTCGGAAAGTCGTATTCCCTGGGGGTTGAACCGGCCGGGGGGGTCCCCTTTCCCCCCTTCCCTCTCCCTCGTCGTGGTTCTCCTTTTTTTTTTTTTTCCCTCTCTTCCCCTCTCCACCCCCGGGAAGGATCCGTGTCTGATTCCCTTGTGTGTTTTCCTCATCTCATCTCACCTCCTCTGTCTTCTTCTTGTGGGTGGTGTGGTCCGCCTCGTCCCCCCTCACCTAGGTACATATATAAATAAAACCTGCAAAGATGAATTCGGCCATGATCTCCCCCTCCTTACGTCGTATTGGTTATACACACAACACATGCTACATACATCGTACATATTTGGTAGTCACACGCGCGGACTTGCTGCGGGATTCGCAACTTGTAGGCATGAGTCTAGCACGCTCCACTTCTGGCTTTCTCTCCTCTCGTCTCTTCTTCCTCCTCCGTCACCAATCTCGAGTGCGTCCCCCTTCGAGCTGGCTGGCTCCTACACGATGCTAGGTACGGCACGCACACCTACGCTGCCCAATGTGTGCACGTAGTGGGCGTATAATAATTCACATACGTATACCACCAAGCCACACACACACACACGGCCGGTGGTGCCAACTGCATACCCCAAATGGGAAGCAGGCCGGGGGAGGGGGAGGTGGATTCTGTCGTCCTTGCTGTCGCCGTCACCGCCCACTGCTGTGTGCGTGTGTGCGTGCGTGCGTGTGTACTCATATATATGTGTGTATACGTAATGCCGGCGGCGGGTCTGTTTTATCTACACACGTACATGTAGGGTGGTGTTATGTACAGGCTGCGGATCCGCCTGCGGACGAGGCGGTAAAACTTCTGAGATCCTGATCTTTTAAGCGGGGGCTTGTTTTGTTTTCAGACACCGGTTCGAACAATAACTGCGACTCATTCCATAGCGCAACGACCACCTGTCGGCTGCGTGGGCGTCGCTAGGCTCGTCACCGCACCTTTTTACCGTCCGCGCTTCGACCCGCCCCTCTCTCCCTCCCCCCCCTCTCTCTCCCCGCCGGCAACAGCAGGATGAGAAATAAATAATGCACTCTCTGGTTGAAAAAGCGCAACCTCGCGGCAAAAAAGGTATCTATATTCCCTCTCCTCGACGGGGGCCGCCCCATAGGTCCTCATTACAACCACGTTACCCTCTGATGATTTGCGTTGCCGCACACACAGGTCTCTTCTTTCCCTCCCAAACGTCTGAATGAGAGAAGGGGGTGAGACGGAGACTTCACGGTATTTCGAAAAGTACCACGTTGAAAAAAAAAAAAAGATATCAATTTCTCGCCTCGCCTCGCCGCCTCAGGAATATGAACAAACGCCTGCTGTGAAAATGTAGAACCGGGTATGTTTTCGAATGCAGACCCTTTCGCCACCAAGAGGTTGCAACCAGAAAACAAGACATGAAGGGGAGGAAGACGACGGGGATTTGAGCAACAAAAAAAAAAGATCTAGGAGGAACAATGATAAAAAAAACCACTATGCCTCATCTATGCCTTGCTTGTGACCGTGCTGAAACCGGATTATAAAAAGAGGAAAGTCCGTTACTCCTAAAAAACAACAACAAAAACCACCAAAAGCATGCCAGCCGATCCAGGTGATAAGAAAAGGCGTCTAAGTGCTGAACGACAAAATATATGTATGTGATGAGATTAAACGGGGAGCGGAGCGGGGGATTCTGATATCAAGATGATGGCGGGTATTAGTGACGAAGGTCCGGCCCTGATTTTGGTCCCAAGAAAAAAACCGCTGCTCCGAAGAAAGGATGAGCGACGTAGGGGAAAAGAAAGACGAAAAGAGTTGCGCTTCCGAGCGAGTGAAAGAGGGGTGGGCGAGGTAGGATCCCCGCGAGAGGGAAAGACTTTCGCTATGCTACGCCGCCACGGCGATCAGATGGCTGTAGACATATCCGGTACCGTCATGACGCTGTCGAGGTCCCCGGCGTCGTATACCAGATGCGACCATACCCGCCAATGGAGCAGGCCCATGTGTGCCAGCCGCGTAGCCATGTCTTCTACACCGCCCTCCTCCCGGGCCTCGCGGATCGCGCTCTCTAGCGAGGTGCGCTCACGGTCCCTGACGTTCTCGCGCGAGCCGTCCCACGCACGGTTGGGACCGTGCAGGCGGCCGCCAGTAGCAACCGAGAACAGGACGGCACCGGTGAGACCCTTGAAGTCCTTGACGCGCTGTCGGAGCTCTACCAGCAGGCGGTAGTGGTAGTACTGCTCCACCTGCTGGAAGAGCGGAGACGAGAGCTCGCCGAGGTGGTTATCGAGCTCCTCCTCGAATTGCAGGAGATCCTGGGCCGGCGCGTTCGTGGACCGGAAGATCTGCAGGGCCAACGAGTCCTTCATCGCCTTCCAGCGAGAGCCGGAACGCGAGCTGGTGGGCGAGGTCTGCAGCAATGCGACGAGCGAGTTATACAAGTTCCTCGATTTCGTCTGCGCATCTTCCACCGGCTGGCTGGCTGCCGATTGGGAAGGTAGAACGAGGGAGGTGCGAGGCGACGAGTGGGCAGACCCGGCAGAGCTGAACACGAGACTGGACGGCCGCGAATTCGGCGGGTTCAGCGCGCCCTCGCTCCCGTCGTCGTCTGTTCTCGAGAATAGAGAGCCCGAAGCGTCGGAAAAGGGAGCGGCTAGGAAGGGTGTCGAGATGGCGTTCACGCTCGACATCGAATTGCAGTATCTGTACTTCCTCTCCAGCCCTTCGTATAGGCGCATGCAGATCTCGAGGTTGATGGCGTCGAGCATGTCGGAGCGCAGCTTGGTCATCCGCTCTTCATCGAAGACGAAGGTGTCCGGGTGGGAGTAGGGATCTGTCGACGGGAGTACCATCTTACAGAGCGCTTCAAAGAAGACGCCCATCTCGCCGAAAGCTTGAATCGACGCGTGGTCTTGCGAGAAGTACTGGCTTACTGCCGAGTACCAGGCCTGGGCCGGGCCCGGATCCATCTTGCGATCTCGTATCTTCTTCAGGAAGAACCGCTGCTCGAAGTGCACCGTATCTTCGATAAGGATGGGCCGGAGACATCGGATCTGGTGGTTGGCCACGTCGAGTTTCATGGCCTCGAGCACGCTCAAGAGACTACGCATTCCTTGTACTAGTTCCTCCATGTCGTTAGTCTTGTTGCCGTTGGTCAGCTGGCTGTACATCTCATCCACCCACTCGTCCCTCATAGGAGCACAATGGGACTTGAGCACGCCAGACAGCCACGAGGCCAACTTTTCTAGATCCGCTATCCCCCTGCTGAACTGTTGCATGATCAGCTCGACATTGAGACCCTCGTCCAGATACATGCGATCCCGCTGAGGCACCAGCGTCTGTATTATCTCCTTGACCGACTTCAGCAGCTGCGGGAGACACCAATCCTCGCCTCGCCCGAATCTCCTCATGAATTCGTCCCGGTCGGCGATAAACAATTGCAGCTGTTCCGTAAGCGTGTTCCAGAACTGATTGGCCTTCTCTTGCTTTCGCCTCCCTTTTTCTCCGTCGACATTGGGCCGGAAGTGGAGGTCCGGGTCGAAGTTTATGTCGTGACGTAGTTTGGGGTTGTGGATGATCTTATTCACGTCCAGCTCGCTCAAGGTAGCCTTCGTTACCGGCGGCTCCAAGGGCCGCGAAGAGCGAGATCTTTGCGAGGACTCGAACACGACCCGTGACTCCGCCGACGCGTTGGAGCTCGCAGATGGATTACGCGACAGCCCGCTACTCGCTGCCGTGCTTGAGTGTACAGGTATCAAGTGCCGGGGGCCGGCCTGGCCGTATTTCTGCTCCTCGCTCTCCGTGCTGGGCGTTTTCGTCTCCGTCGACTGCTGCTGGATCTGGTCGTCGTGAGAGTTTGGACGCGGTTCCGACATGCGCCTCGTCGTGTTGCTCTCGACTCCCCGGCTTTCGATGCCGCCAGCTCCTTGGTCCACCATCGTCGTCGTATGTCACCGAGTCCGACGAAGAGGTCCCAACTTGCGGCGGAGTTTCGATCTCAGGTACCGACGAGACCCCGCGGATTTTCGAAATTAAAAAAAGGGAGAAAGAAAGAAAGCCGACGACCTTGGGGTTTAGAAGGTTCGGCGTGCGGTATGCCTTAATTGGCCGTATCTCGCTTGTGCTAGGGGAGCTTTCTGGGCTACGAGCACGAGGTAGACTTGGCTTGGTAGCCAAGAAAAGTACGGCACGGCTACTAGAGAGAGAGACGGAAGGCGATCTGGTCAGCGGATGGGGTCTATATGAAGAGATTTGGCCAACAGGTCCTGTTGTTGGACGGAAGTGGTCTCGTGAAAGCGGATGGCTGCAGATGTGCCCTGACCCGGCTGTTGTGTACTTCGAGACAAGGGAATCGAGAGGTGTGAAGAGGTGCCTGTTTGTTGCATCTGTGGGAAAGCGTATGGGCTTGAAGTCTTACATGACCAGCTACGATTTGAGCGGAGGATGCAAGCCAACCCTGAAAAAGAGACTGGTAACTAGCAGCAGCAGTGGCCGCCAGGGAGGGGAGGTGGATGTTTGCAGATACGTAGGTAGGAATCCTTGAAGGAGTGATCAGGACAAGGAGTTATGTAAGGTACCTTTTTCTTCTTCCGTATCTCTTCCTCCTCTTCTCCTGCTTCCTTTCCTTTTCCCTTCTCTCTTGTGCGCTTCTTTTCTTATGTCGCTCTCACTCTTGCCCTGTCGGTTTTCTCTTCCGTTTTCGTTATAGAGGAGGAGGGGGCTGAGGAGAGAGAGAGAGAGATGGTGATAGAGCGAGACGTAGGAGGTGTGTATGGACTACGGAAGTACGCAGGGTGCGTATAAGCGGGTATAGATAGGTAGGTAGGTAGGTAGGTATGGGAGGCCGATTAGGGGGGGAGGGAGGAGGAGGAGGAAAGGCGAAACAAAGGAAAGAAGAAAGAAGATATCGCGAGCCGGCCAGGAACGAGGCGATCAATAATAATAAGTATGTAAGTGTTGGCAGCAGGAAAACATGGGAGAAAAAAAAGGGACCAGGGTGGCATGGCTTCTCTGGCTCTAAAAGCAGTAATCAACCACGGGAGAGTAGATTATTATTAAACTGAACGAGCGCAAGCACCCAAGCGGGTAAGGGGTGGACACGGGGTGGACGCTGGATAGTGGGCGAGGTGGACATGGTTCCGGGGGAAATGAATGTGGAAGCACTGATGCTCTTCAATGCGCTATGTATTTGCATCCACACCCACCACGACCCATCCCATCCCATCCCATCCCATCCCCCATCCTTCCGTGGCTTAGGCGTAGTGTGCATAAATACATAGAATACATAGAATACATAGGTAGGTAGGTAGGTATATACATGTATACATACATACCTGCCTATATTAGGTACATATACTTTAGGTACTAGTAGATATGCACATCTGTTTAGTAAGGGGGGTGTGTACTCGTACCTGCCCGAGGTCCCTCCCCCCACCTACCTACCTACCTACCTACCTTCTACCTATATGCAGACCTAAGGCCGGGTACGTAGGTAGGTACCTCCTCGCCCACCGAATGCCCATACATACCCAAGTACCTTAGGTACCTTCTTTCCTTGGATAGGAGGGGTACATGGTGCCTTTTATTACAGCATTAGCTACCTACCAGATAGACTAAATAATAGAGACTACCAAGTAGCGCTGTCAGGAATCGAACCTGTCCTCTATTATATAACCCACTTAGCTCGACCCATACAACAGGCACGCGCCCCCGCGCGCTATTACAAACACTACCTACTCCAGTAACGTCGGAATACAGGATCTTACAAGGATAAGATACGCTCCACTACTATCGTATAGCCTGCACTGGTACACACGTACCACCTAAAAGGACCTTATTACAAAGGCGGCACTCTGGCTCGAACCAGTAGCTTCTGGAGTTTAAAGTACGCAGTACCTACTGCCTAAACGAAGTCACCAGATAGACTAAACAATAGAGACTACCAAGTAGCGCTATCAGGAATCGAACCTATCCTCTATTATATAACCCACTTAGCTCTACCTAAGGTAAGGATCTACCTGCCTAGGTACATAGGTTGAGCGGTCGGCAAGCTTCTGTTATAGGTACCTAGGTTAGGTACCTGGAGTAGCCGCGGAAGTGTTAAGAGAGCGTACGTTCTCCTGGGCAGGTTAAGAGGCGCCCAGGCTTAGGGTACCTACGTACCTTGTATGCAGCGGCAGGTCTACGTACCTCCACAGGTAACCTGCCCATGTACCCATGGCAAGTCGTGGACGGAGACATTCCATATAATAAACACCATCCCTCTCTTGCTTACATACTATACGCACCGCTGGAACGCGCCACCGCTAACGCCGCCGCCGCCGCCGCTGGGGTCGCCGCCCGGTGCTGCTGCGAATCGTGGCCTCCGGCGCCTCGTTCCTCCTGGGCTGAGACGATAGCAGCAGGGAATTCCTGACCCGGCGCTTGAACCAGCGGTAGCGGCGTGGAACCTAAGGGGAGCGTACATGCATATGGGAGGAAGGGAGGGGGCCTAAAAAAAACACCAGGGATGGTAGATCGCCACAACGTGATGGAGGGAGGACGGTGAGAAATGCCAGCCAAGGCCCCGTTCTGGCTAATGGACGAATGCACTCGAGTACTCGTCCACGACTCAGGGAGCCCAAAAGGAGGGAAGGGGGCCGAGGACGAGAACTTGCGATCAGCAAGTGCCAGCAGAGCAGAGAATCATCAATCCTCACACACACACGCGCGCACGCTCACACACCTACACATGCAACTTTACACATCCACACGATACCGACAGATAGGCACACGTAACATCACTTAGCACCCATGCAGACCGGTAGGACAGGTAGACAGACGCACGCCCACGCACATATGTGACTAAAAACGAGGCTTTCGCGCCAGCATGAAGTTGTGGTTAAATTCTGTTTAGACCCCCCTCCCCCTCTCCAAAAGGAAAAAAAGAGAGTCAGGCTGGGATAGTCTTTTCTTGGCTGCAGCAAGTGGGTTTTTTTTTTTTTTTTTTTGCGAAAATCTAATCAGAACGGTCAAGAGTGGGATCGGAGATGGGCAGTAGCAGCAGCAGAGATCCCACACGGGAGAAGAAGACCCAGAACCGTACAAATTGACAATAAACCGCCTCTCGCTGCTAGCCCAGTCAGCAACTCGCCAGCAGATCAGACATGACGTAGTACACGCAACCAACCACACAGACTGGGAAAAGACTCCGATGGCGGTCTTTAATTACAATATTAGTGTCTGTGGGTCTAGACGCGTGGGGACGATCTGCTATCGTCTCTTCCCCCCCAAGCGAGCATTCGGAAAGCCAAAGGGTTCTTCTTCCAGAATCATGGGAGAGGCGGAGGGGCCAGTAGGGAACGGGAAGCAGAGAAGGAGAAACAGAGAGAGAAGCCCTAAAAATCAAGCGCGAGTCCGTTTCGTCTGGTTTCGGCATCAAGGTATAAAGTCCCTTGGACCAGGAGGAAGTGGAGGGATGGTGTGTTAGTACGCTGGCACCCGGCTCAGGGGGTGTCATCCTAGTGCAGTTCTTCTTCTTCTCTTCTTCTTCTCTGTCCTTCTCTCCCCTTAAGCCTCTCTCCTAGGCAGGGCTCCGGGGGTGGGCTTTTGAGGCTTGAGTTCCATTGATTTGGGACAAGCCCAGGATTCATCCGGCTCCGTGCCACGCTTAATTCGTCAGCCAACACTCTTCTTGGAATCGTAATAAGTCCCTGCATGCTCACGACCCAACCTGATCGAATACGTAGGTACGCACGTATGTGATGGTGGTAATCGTGCTGGTCATACATACCCTTACCTACCTCCTAGGTATAGGACGGGATCGTATGTAAATTGACACCACGAGACATAGGTACATGCATACAGGCCAGTTTATTGCATCCGAAAGGGGAGACCCGAGGAGATAGAGGAGGAGAGATGCATATGTATATCAGAACCACAGTATCAACCATGATCGGGGCACGTCACTCCCTCCCAGCCCGTAGTCCATAGACCTAGGCTCTTATATATATGTATATATGACGGTATTGTTCGCAATAAACAACCGTGGCTTGTGTGGTGTGTAGAGGAGGAAGACTTGGGCAGTTGTCGCCCCCCAGAGCCGGTCTCCCTTCGCAAAATCACACTCTGTCATTTCTCGAATTCGTACCTCGTGCGAAGCGGTAATGAGACGCAGGAGCCGGTTGCAAAAAAAAAAGAGAAACCTCCAGAGATGCATTGCATTGCACTTAATCGCCTGCCGGCTGAATGGCTCGTGGTGGTGGGTGTCTGTGTGTCCGTGAGGTCTGGTCTGCTGCAGGAGGAGGATGCATCTGTCGGTGAGTGGCATGGTTCAATCCAACGTTGAACCGAGGGAGGGAGAACACATGTCGAGGTGAGACGACTTGGTGATGAGATGATGGTTGTATGTACGTATGCATGTGTATGTATGTATTGTATGGTGGCGGTGATTGTGGGCATGGTCCGAGGCTTGTTACGGAACCGTTTGCCCTCTTGGCTCTTCTCTCGACCCTCGCTCACCCCTCGCCCTCTCGCCCACTCTCTCTCTCTCTCTCGCTCTCTCTCTCTCTCACGGGGGTCGGAAACCACCAGACGAGGGGGCCCGGAAGACTGCAACCGCGAAGCTGCCACGCTGCCACCAGCGTTGGGCGACGATCGTCATGGCGGTGGGTTTTACGAAGACCCGGGAAGCAGTGTGACGGCTTCCGATTCAGCTAGTGCTGCTGGATAATACCTGGCAGTGTCTGAGATGCTGTCCCTAGTCCGCTTTCGAAGAGGCATGACAATGTAGCAGCTCTCTATTGGCAATCTACGGACGTGCGTCGTTGTGCACGCGGGCGCGCGCGGGCGCACGCACTACGGCAATGCGCTTTATAGTATCTGGCCTGGATGGCCACGCATGCTCGATATCCGTAGGGGGAACGCTAAAAATACTGGGAGACGACGGTGAAGAAGAAGACGAGAGAGGTTGAGAAGAGGCGAGACTGAAGAGGAAAATACAGGGAAAAGGTGAGGCGAGCAGCTTTGACGGGGCTGGGAACGAGGAATGACTATACGAAGCAACAGGCGGTCTAATTTGGGAGGGGGGGATGAACCCAGCTATATTCTAGCTGCGTAGCTGCATAGGTAACCTCATGCCACACACTACAGCACGGCCTCTGCTAGAAGACATACCTGTAGGTTGCTAGGGGCTACCTGAGTTGGGTACTGGTACGCGTATAAGTAGGTACCT